GTGTGTGTGTGTGTGTGTGTGTGTGTGTGTGTCCTCCAGGTAGAGTAGCCCTGAGCACAAGACAATGACACTTTGATGGAAGGCTAGGGTTTGGCACTGATAAACCCAGCCTCCCATGCACACACACAACAGATTACCAGGGACCCTCAGAAACCACTGACCCAGGAGGGAAAGCTCAAGGTGACAAGTGTTTGAGAGGAGAGACAGGCTAAGTGAACCACTGAGGCATAGAAAGAACATCCAAGAGAATGTTAGGAGCATGTCAGCCAAAGGAGAAGGCAGCCTGGTCCAAGGCTCAGAGTCTTCCCTTCCAGACCATGAGGTCCCAGCTAGGGTTCTGGAAAATAGATTTCCAAATCACAATGCCCCCTGTCTCATTCTCTGGGGATGTGTACCAGCAGAGACTCCAGCCTCCTACTCAGCATGCTCCTTCATCAACTAAGTAGTGGAAAGCTGCTTGGGAGTCACTGTGGCTACTCTGGGGTGGCCCCTTACCACAGGAAATCTGTGGCTTAAACCTGGAGGCCACAATCATCCTAAGAACTGCTACACTGACAGACCTTTAGTAACTGAGAAGGACCCTAGGTGACATCTGCTTCGGAGTGTGAGGGTCTTTTTTCTAACAGGTTCCCAAATTACCTGTGATCCTGTTGGAAATGCTGAAGAGCCTGGAGGTCCTCTGTCGCTGCACAAATGGTTCCCGGTAATAACGGTCCCCAAAGCACATGCCCAGGAGCTCCTTGCGAACAGTCTTGTTCCAGAGTCCATAGATCAGAGGGTGGCAGATGGCACTGGTAAAGGACAGCCATGTGGCCCAAGTCTCCAGGGTTGGGGAGACATAGTTCTTCCCCCAGAGTGCCTCTGAGGTAATGACAACCATGTAGGGGCCCCAAGTGACCATGAAGGCGCCAATGACCACAAGAATGGTAATGAGGGCTTTGCACTGGTTAGCTGAATAGACCACGCCTTGAAAGGCATTCCTCCTGCTGCCTGAGGAGGAAGTGGAGGTACTAGAATTCTTCCTCCCGGTCCTCTGGGCATCCTCCTCCACAATGACCACAGAGCCACAGTGCACTTTTCGGGCCTTGACCCTGGCCACACGGAAGATGAAACCATAGCATACTAGCATGATGAGAAAGGGGAACAGGGCACACCAGATCTGCCAGAAGACAGTGTAGCCAGGCTCCCGGTGCCACGCAGCCACACACATCCACTTGAACTCATCAAACTCCAACGATGACCAACCAAATAGGGGTGGCAAGCAACCAATGAGGGAGTGGAGCCAGATGTAGACAAGAGCCATCACGGCTCGGTTCCCTGTGATCTTCATGGGGTACACCATTGGATACAGGACAGCGTAATAGCTAGAAAAAAAGATTGAGGGAGGTGAGAGATGACCTACATGGAGGCAGGACGTTCCACTTTCTTGGGTAGGGATTGTTGTACTTCTCCCAACTAACTAACCCTTGTGCTGTGAAGACTTCTACAAAAGACAACCTCACCCAATCCTCCCAGACAAGCAACAGGCTACACCATGTCACACAACTCTACACTATCAAGGACAAGGTCCTGTGTGAGGGTCAGCACATCAGAGCCTTCTTGTATTTAAGAATTCAGCTATGGGCCGGGCGTTGGTGGCGCACGTCTTTAATCCCAGCACTCAGGAGGCAG